GAGAGAGAGAGAGAGAGAGAGAGAGAGAGAGAGAGAGTCCCTGGGTTCATCAGAAACAATTTTCATTTTTTAAATTAAATCATATGTTTTTTTTATGAAAGCAAATTCTACTCGTTATACATATGTAATAATACAAGATTGAAAAATAAATTCTATTTTAAAATTTTTGAAAGTGACTAAACAATTACAAAAGATAAATAATAAAAAGCATACAGCCACAACAATAGATGTAAACAAGTCATGTATTTAAAATTCCAAATAAATAAGTAGACGTTTCGGTGAAGATTTGACCATCATCACAGTACATAAAAAGATGACAAAATTTGAAAGTCTTACAAACTAAAACGCAAGTCGGTTGTTAAAATAAAAATTACATAAAGAAATTAATAGCCAAAAAGTATATGCCAATACAGTCGCAATGATCGCACTTAAAAGTTAAAATAATTTCTTCTTGCTTATGGTATGAAAACAATATGAATAGAAGTCAGGAAAGCTGTTACAATCTTCTAATAAAATAGTCTATTGCAATTTATATTTTTCTTAAGAAATGATGAGAAACTTCGTGTAAAGATACGGAATTTCCAAGTTTACGTATCTTATAGCACAAAAACTCATCAGTACGAACCGGAATATGTAAAAACTTTTAATACGATAATAAAAATTACTTCTGACAATGACCTACCATAAGCAAGAAGAAATTATTTTAACTTTTAAGTGCGATCATTGAGACTGTAATGGCATGTACCTTTATTATTCTAATATATTCTGTTATGAAATAAAGGTCTCATTAATTGACTTAACTATTGTTTAAAAATATGTTTTTGCTTTTTATTAATGCGACATTTTACCGCGCTTTCTACTCACTTCATTTAATTAACATTATTTATATTTCATTCCTAATTTTCATCATCTCGACCTGAATGTGCGATCATATAATATATTCGCATATATTCGTAATAATATACGTAATATGTAATTAACCTTCCAGCGCACGTGTTTTCCGTATACGCACCGGTTTTATAAAGGGGATAAGATAAAGGAAAATACTAAGGGTATTAAGATAAAGATATCGAAAAATTAATACTTTACGAGATACTAAGAGTATTAAAATAGAGATATCGAAAAATTAATAGTTTACGAGATATTTTTATACTTTATTCTGACACATATTAACATAAAATGTTAAATAATTTGTAAATTAATATTTTTATAATCATACCTCAATACTTTTATGAACAGAATAATGAGATGAATCAATTGGGGTAGAAAAAATACACAGTTGCTTATTTAAAAAATTATCCATTTTGCAGTCATATCTTTTTAAAGCAACTATGTGTTTTCTTTTTTCTATTCATAAAAGTATTAAGGATTACGATTATCAAAAAATTATTAATTACAAGTTATTTAACATTTTATGTCAATATGTGTTAATATTTTTCGATACTTTTATCTTAATACTTTTATACGCAGAATAACTACAGACATATTATGTAAAACCAATCATAATTCCATTTTTAAGAAAAGGATGTTGACCTTGAAATCTAACTGTCGTCTTACTGGTTACACAATTTTAACTAATTATACTATATACTAATTTTCTAAGACTTTCTGATTGGAATTCATCATCATCAATGTTTTAATTGTCTGACAAAGTTATTAATATAAGAAATGAAGTTGGCAACCGATGGAACAACGAGAAATTTCTAACATTCGGCCTATAAATCGTATGCGAACAATCTTCTCCATTCTTTTGTGGAATGTCCATCCGTTCATCATCAATAACTTTGAAGTAGTATCGTCTACATCATCAGGTTAAGCCTAATCTTAATATGTTGGCTGCACTTTTTTATCAAGTATATGAAGATGACTCATACAATGAAGAAGCCGAAACATGTAATGCGTAATTTTCTAGAATTTTTATATAATACAATTAATATATCATAATATAGATCTTTTATACACGCTCAATGCTTTATTGACTCTTATGTGCCCTTCACATCTTCGTATTGTTTTTTGAAAAACTAAATTCTGTACTTCTTGTTGTTTGAAATTTGTTAAATTGTTCTTATGAACACGTTCTCTCTACCTCTCTGAGCAATATTATCTCATTATTATCTCATTAAATATTCTTTGGAGATCAGTGTTGTATATATATGTACATTTTAATAGGTAAATATCGGATCGAACTCCGCTTATTTATTGCAGTTTTTATGACAATGATTGAAAAATGATCAACTTACTAGGCCATAGGACAATATCTGGTATCCTTTGGAAAGAGCTATACTTTAAGAGATAAATTTCTCGCAATGTATGACCGTGTGCTCGAAACAGACGATCGACACCATCGGTAGAATAATCGATCATCAGTTTCTTGATCACGTCCAACAATTCTGCAGAAAGAATTGGTTCTGGAATATGCTTCGGTAAATTTTGGACCGTACACTTCATGTCCCATGTTATATCAAAAGTTGTTTCACACCATTTTGTGAAATATGGCAGTTCCCGGTTTCCAATGGGATATCTAAAAAAGTATAAGTATAAAATTAATAAATTATTGTTTTGCGTAATACGAGCGAATCCACACGTAAAATTAATTCCGTTTACACATGGGAAACCAACGTCTGCGTAGTATATATTCTTACAAATTTACAGAATTGGGAAGTGTTATTTTTTTCGCTACTTTTCGTAATAAACATAACGTTGCAATTTTTTATAATTAAACGCTAAAGTTGTGCTAAGATTGGAAAAGTCAATTTTTCTAACCTTAGCATAACCTTAGCGTTTAGTTATAAAAAATTGCAATGTCATTATAAAATTGTTTAATATAAAAAGTAATAGAAAAGATAACGCTTCCGAACTCTATAAATTTAAACGCTGTATTAAGAAACCGCTATCAGATAGGTAGTAGAAATCAGATATTTATACAGGATATCCGATGAGACTTCTGCCAAACGCTTTTTGTAGATAGAATGGATTAAACTAAATCGAAAAGTCCTCTATCATTGTAACTTTCGCAATAGTTAACGAGATATTAATTATTAAAAATTGTCGAAAATTGATCTTCAATAATTTTTTATTCAAATACTTTACAGAAAACTGCAAGAGACAAAAATTGTTATTTTTTATTATTTTTTTCTCATAGAGCTCTAAGAATTTTTTCAGAATTTTTTATCAACTTTTAGTACTGCATTTTCTTATTTTTGCTAGTCCGACCGAAATTGACCCGAAACACTCGACTATATGTCAATTTTAATCGAAACTGAAACCAAAATAAATAGAAATCCTATAAAGGCCATTTTCATAGATATATCCATGTATCATATACTTTTTTTTATCAATATCATAATTTATTGAAATAATAATTAAATTTCGGTTGTGTCAATTTTGGTCAAAGAATATAAGTATTTCTTCTTCATAAATGTCATAATTTAATTAAATGAATTTATTGAAACAATAATATTAAAAAGAGCTATATGATTTCAGTCAAAACTGACATAATGAGTGCTCGTTTTCAGTTTCGATCGGACTCTAATTTTTACCAACATGAGAAAATATGGTATTAAAAAATTCTTAGAATTCTTTGAGAAGAAAATAAATAATTTTTGTCTCTTACAGTTTTTCTGTAAAGATTTAAAATTTGAATAAAAAATTATTGAATACCAATTTTTAGTAATTAATATCTCGTTAACTATTTTGGACTCAGTTTTCGCTCTACCTGCCCATAAAATATTTGGCGATTATTTTAGGACACCCTGTATGTATCATTATAAGGGAATGGAAAGTTATTTTTTAAAAGTAATAAGTTACAGTTACTCGTTACCGAATAAAAAAAGTAACAAGTTACAATTACTAGTTACCGATATTTAAAAGTAACTTATTACAGTTATCGTTACTTGAGAAAGTAACTTTTCGTTACTTTTTGAAAATCGACAACCAATCACAGCAGAAGGCTTTCTAGTCTCAAGCGTTATAAATGGCTTGTTCAATCGTATCGTATCCAATCGTGTGCAAAATAACGATAAAAGTAACTGTAAAATTCGTTATCGTTATCAAAAAAATGTAACCATTACAATTACCAAAGAAAAAAAGTAAAGTTACCAAAAAAGTAACTTGTAACTGTAATTTCATTACAAATAACAAGTTACTTCCATTCCTTTATAATTTTATATATATATATATATAT